TTTTGAAAATATCACAAAATCGTTTATAATTGAAGTAAAAAAAGAATGATATATAAAAAATTAGAAAAACACTTTTTAATTTCATGAAAATATTCAAAATTATTATAAAAAATTAAATAATAATGTTTGAAATTTATTTTTAATCTCATGTCACTTTTTTTTATTATAAATATATTGCATTTTAAAATCATAGATATTTCTTTAATAAGTAATAAGTAATATTGATTGCTTTCAATTTACTAATCAGAATTTTACATTATTATTTCTTAAATATATAAAAATTTTCACATTTTTCATAAATATAGCGATTTGTAATATTGTTTTTTATTTTATATCATACCATAGATTCAGAAATAATATATTTTTTTATTAAAAATTTTATTATAATTAAAATTGATGAATGTTGATATAAAATGTCATCGAAGACTAAATGCTTTTAGAAATATTTCTAAATTGTATTTTGATTAAAATTTGAATAATATGTACATTACAAAAGATTAAATATAAATGTATAATATAAATTTTTTCTTTTTATAGAATATACTAGATACTATATTGGATATTAGATTTATGTATACTGGATAGAAAAGTTTTTTTTTATTAATTTCTAATCTTGAATTCAATAGAATAGAATAAAAATAAGTTTTAATACAAATTATGCAATAGATATAAATGCATTTCTAAAGTAATTATTAAAATTTTATTTAAAATATTATAGAAACTTGATTATTAAAAAATTTCAATAAATAAATAATACATATAATTAATATATATTTGTGAGATATCTTTTTTTTTTTATTTTTTAAAAATCAAAGCAATAGTTGGCATATAAAAATATATAGTTGAGGCTTATTTATTAAATTATAAAATAATTTAAATTCGTGTTATATGAAACTATGCAGAAACAGAATGATATAATAAAGACAAAATGATCTTAATTCAAATTTTAATTGTTTATGACTAATAAATAAACATTAACTAAAATTTTTGTTATCAATTTTTGTATTTGTATCAATTTCTAGAATATACTTCAAAAAATGTTTTAATATATAAATACTTCATATATATGTGTATACATGTATATGTATATATATGTATGTATATATATATATATATATATATATACACGAAACATGAAGAGTAAAGTGTCATTTTATTCTATTTTTGATATAGGACGTTTTATAAATTTTAAGAAGTAATTTTGAAACTAAAGATTTTTCGATGTAAATACTTTTTTAAAAAATAATGTCGATTAGTATAATCGATTGTAATAAGTATATAACAATAGTATAATAAATATATAATAAGTATAAAAAAAATTATATAATTACATTTAAAAAATAAAAGTTGATTTTTATTATACAATTATATAATTTATATAATTAATTTTTGAATCAATATATAGAAAAACTATTAATATATTATATAATTATTTCATAATATATATGAAAATATCAAACAATTTTTATAAAATCATTTTTTTCATATATGATAATAATCATTTTTATTCTACCTTTAAAAAAAATATTTTATTACATTTGAATAAAATAAACATCTTGTATATATTTACAGATATAATATATATATATATAAATATTGTGAATATATCAATTTAATCTGATGAATTGATAATTGAATAGATTACATAATATATGTAATATATATATATATATATGTGTAAATACACGTACGTTTATTATACACATATAATAAAAAAATAATAACAAAATAGAAAATTATTTATTTTCTTCATAATAGATATAATTTTATATAATTTATATATTTCTATATAATATTCTATATAATTTAATAATATAATAATTTATAATAACAAAAATCATTTTATTTATAACATTTTCATCTTACTTTTCATTATTCTATATTTATTATATCAGAACAAAAAAATTATTATATAATAGATAAGATAATTAATCATAAATAATTATTATAATTGTATAATAATTATTTAATCATTAAATACCTTTATCTTAAGTATTTTTGTATTTTCATATCTTTATTAACGATAAAAATCTATTTATATATCCAACGAACAAAATTCGAAACAATTATACATAGTCGAAGCATTTGTTAGTATTTGAAAAAATTGCCTATTATCTCGAATAACGCTCATACGAGTTTATGTATAATTTTTTTTAGATTTGTTATTAATAAATTTTTCAATAAACTTATTTAATACTCAATCAGCATATTCAAGATAAACAAATAAAATAATAATAAAATATTATGGATTCATGTTTTGACGGTTATTTTAAACTTGATTCATGCTCAGTCTATGTATAAATGAGAGAATTACATATATATATAGTAATTATCATGCTAAGTTTCACAATAATTTTATTTAAAAAAATAAATAAATAAAAACTTAAAAAAAAAAGAAAAAAAGAAAAAAAGAAATAATATAATATAGTAAAAGGAAAATAAACCATTTTCCAAAGGAATCGTGCAGCACAACGAAAAATATAGTATTGTATTTATAGATTGTATACTAATTTATAATTCTGCAAAAGAGATCGATAAAAAAAATGAAAAAAAAAATCAAATTAAAGAAAACGCGAATACATATTGAATATAAATAATTTAAAACGAAAAAATAAACAGAAAGTAAACATAATGAAAGATTCCTTCTTACGGATGCCCGTCCGGTGGCCTGCTATAATTCAGGCCGATCGTCATTACGGTAAATCATCTCCTTATGTTATGCTTCACCCCAATTTTTATTATGATAACAAGAAGCACACAGCTGATCTTTGTAAGTTTGCGTCAGTTGACCGGAAGTTATGCAGTACCATCGGTATGCAAGTAATGTGCACACGGACTCTCCCTCGCGAAGCACGGGGTACAGAGAAATACGTCCGGATACGTGCTGCCACAGAACGAACTCGCGAGATTCCTGACCATTGGACCGACCCTCGTGCATGCATACTTTAGCATAACGTTCTCTATACAATATCCAGAAAGAGGGACGAGGAGAAACGAGAGAGAAAGAGAGCTGGAGTGGGACGAAGGGAGAGTCAAAAGATAGAAAGAGATATGTAATACCACCCTCTTTCCCTCTCCTGCCTCTTCTTCATCGTCCTACCTCTCGTTGACCCCTTCCCATTGCCCTCGCGAATCGATTTGTTATTGTTTTTGTGTCTGCGGTCGTCGCGGCGAGCGGAGCGAGCGGGGTTGTATATCGGTGGGTGGTAAACCCGGCGACCAACACGAAGTGGGTAGTGGGGAGTATGGGTGCCAGTCGCGCTCTCGCTGCTTCAAAGCGACGCTTTTCGGCCCGACAAAGAGGCGACCAGGAAGGGCGAATTGCGCGGGGGTGGTTTGCTACCACCAGGTTGGACAGGAGGAAAGGGAAAGCCGCGGTAAAAGAGCACTTTCAAAGCTCGAAAGAGATGGACGAATAGATACATGTAGCTGACCAATGGTGTAGATCGAATACATGTACCATTTTCTATTCAGTCAATTATTTTATATTATCTATAAAATATTACAATATTTCTTAATTTCAAAATAACATGAAATAAATTGATACTTATATTTTTTTTCTTTAAGATTTTATTTTTATTTATTTATTTTTTATTATTATCTTATATTATTATTTTTTATTTTTATTTATCATTTTTTTTAATATGTATTATATATATCATTTGTAAAAATATAATATTGTATCAAGTAATATTATTTATTCGATTAGTATACTATACTAATACTAATAAAATCATTCGTTTTCTAGTAAAGAGAGAAATCTCGCTGGCTACGCCACTGGTTGGCTCTACCAACCGAAAAGAGTGAGAGAAAATGAGTGGCAAAGGATAGAAGCTGGCACAGTGATGAGAGCAAGAGGAGGAGGAAAATGGGAAAGGAGGAAGGTGGGTGGACGGAAGAAACTACAGGGTGAGAGGGAGGAACCGCGAGGGTTAAGTAGAGAGGGGGTTGCTGCTACTCACGGAGCAAAGTAGAAGGGGGTAGGAGGGAAATGGATCGGATTGCGTGGTCGGCACGAGTCTGGTTAGTATGAGTGCAACAGAATAAAAGAGAATAAAAGTAAGAGAGCAAGAGATAGATATGCGGTTAGAAATGGAAGCGTATATGTAGGTGAAAAAAAGTAGCTGAGAGTATAAAAAGGATTGCATCAGTGAACGAGAAAATTCGAGGTAAGATTTTGTTCGAGAACTATGTTTGCTTGACAGGTGACAACCGATCGGACCACTGACGTCACAGATCACTCGCTTAGTCGTATGCTCACACGCACAAACGCGATTTACTGCAGCACACAGGCACATAGGAGAAAAAGAGAGAGAACGCGCGCGCGACGTGTCGTGCATCACGCCGTATTACTTCCGTTTCGTGCACATAGTACATCATACGTATACGCCATGAGAAAAAAAGTACCGCGGACGAAAAGATAAAAAGAGAAAAAAAAGAAAAATAAAATGAGAGGAAAAAAACAGAGAATAAATGAAAATAAACGGAAAATTAGAAAAAAAATGAAATAATATAAATATCATGAAACGGAACGAGAGAAAAAAACGAGGAAAAGGAGAAAAAATTTTTCAGTGAAAGTAAGTAGTAAGTATTTACGATGCTAACCGGCCGATAGCCCCGCGCGACGCCTCTATCTGGTTACCATTACACTCGGATGTATGAAATGCGCCAGCAGCATACACCATCCCCCCACAATAGCCCTATTTATGATTGGGCAAAATTGCTTTCCATGCGCAGAATAAAATCGCGCGCGAGCGAGGAAAAATCCGCGGGGGTTGGATGCATGCAAGTTACGCAACTTGTGCCTAACTACTTCTATCACAATATTTTCTGATTCTGAAACAAGAACGTTTTATAACTATTTCCAAGTTGTTTTGATTAATTATTCATGATACGTGATTTTTATTCTTTCAATTTTCTTTACATCGGTTCACAAAATTTGGTAAAAATTAAATATGGCGAAAGGTCGCAGTCATGCGTATATGGATCTCCACTTCCATTTTCCAAGTAACCAATCAGCAAATGCGAGCAGATTTCAAAGAAATTCCGTCAGCAGCGCTATTCTCGTTTAAGGGATGCATTGTGTTTCAAGAAATTAAGATATTCTTCGTTACATTAAAAAAAATATTTAATTATTCTTTTCTCATGCTTTTTTTCTTATTATTTTCTTAAGCTTAATATACCAATATGTAACTAATATTATAATCAACAAAGCATAATGACAATGATTAGTAATCAAAATGCTGTTAATTTTTAAAACAACATTATTTTTTTCTTATTTTTATTATATAAAAAATAATTTTATTCAACAAATAAAATTAAGTTAGTGCAAAAAATTTATAATCTTTTTATATTAAATAATATTAAAAATAATATTAAAATTCATTAAAAAGTTTTAACACAATTTTTATTGTAAATACATAATTATAATATTTACTAGTTTTTTTTTATAAATAGTAAACACAAGAAAAATATATTGATTGCATAAAAATTATAAAAAAAATAAACAAATCTTAAATACATTAAATATTTTAAACAAAGTATATTATTATAAATAATTTTACATACATTTAACTTGTTATATCATATATAATTATTGAATATTACATATGATTTCACATCTATTACTTGTATTAATATTGCATTAAGAGATAAGAATTTTTGATACAAAACTTGCAAATTATAAAATTTTTTCTTCGCTCAATAAAAATAATAATTTAATATTAAAGGTTACATAATATATTTTCAATATTAAGAATTTTAATTATATTTCTTATTATATAATTTTATTTTTCTATGATTTTTTTATAAAAATATTTATAAATTATTTAATGACTTATAATGACATATTTTGATATATTTAATTTTTTATTTAAATCAAACCTATAATAACTTTTAAACTTTTAAAATCTTGTTTGTATCTTTTCATTTCTTAAATGCTTCAAGAAAAAAGATATTATTACAACTAAATACATTTAAAGATTGTAAATATATAATTGAAAAATATAAATGATGTAATATCTTTTAATGTTTTAATATCTTTTTCATCTATAATTAAAACAATTATTTATTATGTGTTTAATTATATGATAATTTAAAAAATGAATTTTAGATAATATTTACTTATAAAATTCAGATTTATAATTTGTAAATTAATTATTTCATATTTTTATATTTTTATTATGTTAATTTATTATATATCTTTCTTTATTTTTCAATTTAAATAATCTCTTTTTATTATACTCTTATGTTTTAATTATTATAGCTAATTGACAAAAACAATTCTTCCTTTTCGTTTGCTTTTTTTTAAAATTATTTTAATATCATCTTTTACAAATGTTGATTATAAAAAAGTTTTATCTCTGTCTCTAAATTTAAATCGTATAATTACTTAATATAACTTTATTTTAATAACTTTATTTTAGTAACAAATTAAAATAAAATTTTTGCTTTGTAGAGCAAAATACAAAAAAATCATATTTATATTGTTGTTATAATCATATATATCATATTTATATGTTGTTGATTTATGATAAATAATTTATCTGCATAAATATTATTGCATAAATATTATTGCATAAATATTATTATTATGTTATTATTTGCTATTTTTTCTTATTGCTTTTAGTATAGTGCTACGTACTCTAAAAATATATAAAATTGCATTATATGAAAATATATTGAATATTTTATTTTTACCTTTTAATTCGCTTTAATTTTGGCATCTCTAGATGATTCTTTTGCATTTTTATTCACAATTATCTTTATTTAATTAACTTGAAACTTTTAGCTAATAAGATATAAATTATGACAACACTAATAATCTTTTATATTCACAAAAATTTTTAATTTAATTTTTTTTAATTTATAATTCTACAATTTTATATAATTTTTATATGATTTAAAAAATTTTAAATAAAAACATATAATTAACATAAGAAAAACAACAGAGTTATAAAATTGTCGATTTGAAAGGAATTATTCTTTGAAGTTAGTAGCGTCCTCTCTGAGTGCTAGATTGTAAATGGAATTCAGATTTAAGTCAGATCTTAAAACCATTTTTATATGCAAAGAAATGCAAATATGCGAACAAATTCAATAATTTATAGAAGTTTATATTTTAAATATAAAATATAAAAAGACAATTATCGAGATCAATACTGAGATGCCAGTATTTATTACTAGAATTCAATTTGATAATAAATTATTGCTTTATCATTGTAAACTGAAGTTAAATATAAAAAAATAAAAAATAAAATTCTTTCTAGTCTTTACATAAAATAGATAATTTATACATTTATATTATTGACATAAATGTGATGATATATACTTATAGATACAGTTTTAGATAATTGCTTTGACGTAAAGATAAAATTATCTACAATGTCATATAAAATAATATAAAATAGAAGTTTTCAAAATAATATATACGAAATACATTTTAATCATTATTAAATTTGAAATAAATATTTTATTTTATTATTTCTATAATTATTTATTTATTTTAGTTTAATTATTTAATTGAGTTTAAAAAAGATAATATACAGATTATAAAATAAAATTATTCATTATAATTATTAATTGCAAAAAAATAATTTTAATTAGTTTCTTATGTACAATTAAACAATGAAAATATATGAATTGTAATATATGAATTGTAATTCTAATATAATTATATGTTTTTGATATAAATAAAATAATAATAAAATAATAAAAGTTCAAAGTAAGTATAAAGCATTTCAATTCAAAAGAATATATTTTATATTTAGATTATTTTCGTTTATTATAATTTTTTGTATAAAATGTCTACATTATTATTTATGATTATTTAATTCTATAAGTGACGTCATATTTTCTTCGTTATTTTTGCTTCAATGTGATTCGTGAATTTTTACAGGTCATGTCTGTGAATATATATAAAAAAGATAACATTATATAAATTTTAATAATTCTTAACAATTCATTAAAAAGACTTTCTGGTAATATTAATAATTTAAAAGTTGTTTTTACTAATTTTATTTACAACATACTATGAATAAGGTATTATATAAGGTTAATAGTAAATATGCTTTTATATTTTATTTACATATACAAATTTTTTGTTTAATAATAACTTTTAATCATAATTTTAATTTTTTAATTAATAAAAATCATTTACATTTTAATAATATTTATAGAATTAATTTTATCATAGATATTATGTATTTCGATAATTACTATTTATTGATTACTTAATATTTTTTTATAGAATTTTATGTAGAATAATATTATTATATTTGAATTATATATACAGAAATATTAAAAAACTTTTATACAAATATAAAATAGATATGTTTTAAAATATTTTTTCAGAATAAGAAAAGAGAAATTCCATTAATAATAAGAAATACATTAGATCTTGACATTAGATTAACCAAAGTTTTTGCAGAATGTATAGAAGATTTAAAACCTATGAGAAAATTAAAAGCATATTACAAGATATTAGAGGTATGTTTATATTTTATATATAATTTTTAGGTACAATTAATATATAAAAAATATAAAATCAAATTTTTTTATATATAAAAGTTATCTTAAATAAATATAAATATAATATATATAATAAATTAATTAATTGTAATATATTACTTGCATTATTCATATAGATATCATGTCATGGGATAATTTGGTTAGCATTATCACTTGCATTTATTTGGATTCTTAATTCTAAAAATTTGTACCAAGTACAAATTAATTTAATAACAGGTGTGTATTAATTTCATTAATGATTTTTTATAAATGTCAAAAGCTAATATTTCATAATATTTAACATTTTATGTTTTTAGCTCTATTATTAGACATCATTATTATTGCTATATTGAAAGCATTGACAGGAAGAAAAAGACCAGCACATAACAATGATCCTTTGTCGATAGGACCTGACAAATATGCTTTTCCCTCAGGTCATGCTTCACGTTCAATGCTTATTTTTTATTTCTTTACATATATATGGCCTGTGTCTGCTATTTTTCTTACAATATTATTAATGTGGGTATTTGCTGTAGTTATATCTAGGATTTTAATGAGGAGACATCATATTCTTGATGTTTGTGTAGGATTACTTGTAGGTTATGCTGAAGGAATGCTTATGAGTATTTTGTATTTAAATGATGAAACATGTTTAAATTTAGTATCTTGGCTAATTAATGAGAAAATGGCTGGTGCAGAATATGATGTTTAAAATTAACTTACTTTTTAAATATATATATATATAAGATAAATATTAAGAAAGATATAAAACACTCTTATATTATTTGACAAGATACAAACAAAATTTAATTTCTAAGTAATAGCAGAAAAAAAAGTTTAGAAAAGTGATAAGAAATAATATATAATATCTGGAATGATTTTAACTATAAGTTCATATCAAATATTATAAATATAATAGATATCTGATATTTCATATTTGTATAACAATTCCATTATTTATTTTTGTTTCATTTCAATGTATACAATGTATGTAACATAAAAAATATTCATATAATAATTAATTTTATTAAAAACATTGTAGAAATTCAGTTATCAGAATATATTTTAAAAAATAATAATATATATATTCTTAGAAATTTATAAAATAATTTTTAAAAAATTACAATACATCTCATATTAAAATATTAAAAAATATAGATTTTATGATTAATTTTTTGCTTTTTTATTTTTTATTAAGATTCTTATTATATTAATAAGATTTATTTAAATAATTTTGTGCATTCTAAACCTTTGTCTTTTTACAATATGTGACATTTTGAAAAATTTTTTACTTTTTTCAAATTATATTATTTATGTCATATTTAACAAAATATAATTATAGAGATATTTATTACTTATATATTTTCGCCATTTAATTGATATTTGTTAATATTTTAACAACAGACTGCAATTTTTTGAAATTTAGACTACTAAATTTAGTCTACTAACATATTCATGGAATATTTTTTTTCTTTATTTTTTTAAAAATCAAAATACAGAAATTGGCATGTAAAAATATCACTTGAGGCTTATTTAAATTATAAACAATTTAAATTCACATTAAACGAAGTAATGAGAATATTATTTATTTATTGAAATTTTTTTAATAAACAAATTTCTATAATATTTCAAATAAAATTAATTACTATAGAAATACTCTTACATCTATTGCATAATTTATATTAAAACTTATTTTTATTCTATTCTATTGAATTTAACAAGATTAATTAATAAAAAAAAACTTTCCTATTCAGTATACATAAATCTAATATCCAATATAGTATCTAGTATATTCTATAAAAAGAAAAAGTGATTATACATTTACATTTAATCTTTTGTAATGTACATATTATTTAAATTTTAATCAAAATACAATTTAGAAATATTTCTAAAAGTATTCAGTCTTTGATGGCATTTTATGTCATTCATCAACTTTAAATATATTATTTCTGAATCAAAAGCTACGGTATGATATAAAATAAAAAACAATATATGTTACAAGTTGCTATATTTATGAAAAATGTGAAAATTTTTATATATTTAAAAAATAATGTGAAATTCTGATCAATAAATTGAAAGCGATCAATATTATTTATTACTTATTACTTATTAGAGAAATGATTTTACAATGCAATATATTTATAATAGAAAAAAGTGATATAAGATTAAAAATGAATTTCAAACATAATTATTAATTTTTTATATATCATTCTTTTTTCATCAATTATAAACGATTTTGTGATATTTTCAAAG